GTGTGTGTGTGTGTGTGTGTGTGTGTGTGTGTGTGTGTGTGTGTGTGAGTCATGTGCCCACATGTTGATGATGTCATCGACTTGTTTAGGTAAAATTACTGTCTGGAAGTTGAGGACTGAGTGTTTTGTGAGAACTGTTACAGTTTGTCACATTGTTTTCATTGTTCAGCAGTTTGTTTTGTTCTGAAACTGATAAAAACATTTAGGAACAACAAACCACCGGAGAAAACAGTTCGACAGAAAGTAAACTTTTAGCTGAAAACATCGTCTCCCAGCTTCATGACAGATTATTTACAGAGCTGAGGAAGAAGGCAGAAGATAAAAAAGGTTTTATGTTTAATAAATCAAAGGTCCAGATTTCTGTTAACTGTAAATTTAAACTTTTTTCACTTGTTTTCTTGAATCTTTGAAGGTTTCTGTGTTTGTGATGTAACTCCCCCGGCGGCCTGCAGAGGGCGGTGTGTGACGTACCTGCTCTGTCTCCGCAGGGACGTCCACTGAGCTGGACGTCTGTCTGGAGAAGCAGCTGGAGCGTTTGGAGTGGCAGCTGAAGATTTTAAAGGAAGTGCTCTCAGCCAATGGGGACTCAGAGAGGGCGGAGCTACTGAGTCAGCACACCGACGAAGAAGTGTGCAGCCTCGTCGTGAGCGTCCTGGATAAGGTCAGAAGGTTTTTCAAGCTCAGCGTCCATCAGGTTTACTTCTCCTGACTTTAATCAGTTTATTTTCTGAGCTGCAGGTGAAAGCAGAGACCACAGCTGACCTGAACGTCCTTCAGGAGCACAGGAGTAAATCTGCTGCTGAAGAACAGGAACGACTCCTGGAAGGTAGGACCAGAACCAGCAGGTGTTCCTCAGTGTCCGGTCTGATGGTGGCTCAGAGCGCTCTGTGTGTGTTTCCTGCAGAGCTGCAGAGCAGACACCAGCAGGAGAAGGCTGAGCTGACGGAGAAGTTTCAGGCGTCTGAGAACATCCTGAAGGTAAAACCAGAYCCTGTTTCAGATTTTAGATGAAACTCTGTTTCCTGATCCATGTCTGTGTTTCTGCAGAACCAAGTGGAGGAGCTGACCAATGAGCTGCAGGCTTTCAACCAGCTGAAGAGGCGAGTCGCAGAATCCCACTTTAAGAAGAATTTACAGAGAAATATTCAGGTGGGCTCCTAACCGTGGAGTTTGTAACATTTAGACGGCTTAAAGAGGTGTTTATAATCTAAGATCTCCACAGGTTGTCTGGTCTGAACACATGAGGCRTGGCTCACTCTTTATTGGTGTCGCTTTACTTTTATGTGGTTTCACAAAACAAACGAATAACAATTAATAATCAAATAATCCAGGTTCTTCACCTTTTTGACCTCAAGGCCCAATTTATTGAACATAAAGAGACACGAGGTCCAGTCACACATTACTAATGTACCGATCAAAATAATAATTATTCTAAATCTTGGTTTAATTTGTATTGTATTATAATTAAATAATAGTTTAAAAGTAAAACTCCTGTCAAATAATCACAAGACATGATTATAACAAACATTTTATATTGTAACCTGCCCATAAC